GCCTCCTGGCTACCAGCCCTCAGCCCTCTCTTTCCATGAATCTAGAGTCCTCAGCTGCTCCCTCTCTCCATGTCCCCATTCTGGTATTGCTGCTTCTCTGGACAAAGTCTCGCATTCTGCTAGTGCTCCTGTTCCTTGATGGTCCTAGGGTCCTATGTTTCTGGACTGTAAGATTAACTATTCCCCAATTTTTGTTACAAAACTTCTACCTTTACAATTGTGACAATATAAATTAGTCATGATAATAATTACTCATTATTGAATCATAAAAGTCTTATCCCCATCTCTTTTTACCAGACCCATCTAGACAAGATGAAAACTATTTACTGATAACATCCTCACAATAACAAAATAGTCTTGAGTTTTATGACCACAGGGCTGAGAATCTGTGAGCATAATTCTACTTTGTTTAGTTCAGTGTTGTTCAATTTAAATATAATATGAACTACATATATCTAGTTTATATTTAGTAGTATTCATATTTAAATAGTAACATGAAACAAGTAAAATTAATTTCAACAATAGATTTATTTAACCCAATATACGGGTCCTAGTGTGGGATAATGCGCTGTACTGCAAAGTCAGTTTGAACCACAATGTCAGTGGTTCAAGTTCACCAGCTGGTCCTTGGAAATCCTATACAGGCTCAGTGCGGGTCAGAACTTACTTGATGTCACTTAACAACAACAATGACAAAAACCTAAAATAGTATAGTTTCAACATGTAACCAATAGAATACATTGTTAATGTAATATTTTATCTTATTTTTTTTCCTCCCAAGTCTTTGAAATCCAGTGTATATTTTCTATTTATGTTGTTGTTGTTAAGTGCCATGGAGTCAATTCCAACCCATAGTGACCCCTATGTAGGGTTCCCAAGGTACAGCTGGTGAGCTTGGAGCACCAAGCTTATGGTTCAAAGTGACTTTACAGTCAGGGCACATCTCAAATCACATGTTAAATTTTCACCAGAATCACTTGATCTGGGCAGCCCAGCTGGGGGTGGAACCAAGCAGTAAGCAACCATAACCACCACCGCCATATACTTGCATAATGTAATTTATACGGAATGCTCCAAAATAGAAGGGGGGAAA